CGAACAAGTCGACCATTGAGTCCGTCGCCACGCTCACACAATCACCGCAGAGTAACGGCAGTTTGAGGCAGGCGCGTATGACAAGCAAGCAGCTCTTCGGCGACGGTGCGACACGGCGCGGCGCAGTGCGGTGGAGGTGCGTTAATGATGATTTACCAAATTATGCTAGCCACAAATAAATGCGCTGTAGCGCGACACGTTAACAACACCAGCAGCAACAGTAACAGCAGCAATCGTGCGACATTTATACGTGCCTACATATTTGATGATAATTGTGGCAACAGCCGCTTTAATAGTGGCACCAACAATATGGAAATATTATTAATTGAAAATGCATAGCGATATGAGCGTTGTTGCGTATCGTTGGCATGCGGCATGCGGCTGGCATGTGTGTGAGTGAGGCTATGTGGCAAGCACGTTGATTGCCGCGTCGCATTTTCGATAATGTGGTCGCTGTCCAAACGGTAATGCGGTATGCGCGCTATGCGCTTGTTGTATAACTATGACGGCGGCGAACGCCAGCTCGAAACACTGGCGTGCCTGATATTGCGCGTGTAGCATGTGCCAAGTGCCGTGTGGCATATGGCGCTGGTGTGCAACAATTGCCCAGCTGCAGTGGCAGCGGCAGCAGAGGCAAATGCAATCGCTAAATGTGATAATTGGCCAATGAAAGTAGTAAATATTTGTAGCTGATCGTCGCCGCTGCTGTTGTCATCGCCACTTAACGGGTCTTATCAGTTCAGTTGCCTGCGTTGCCAATAAATCAGTGATGCGCTTTCCGTCGCCAACACAAAAACATTCGAAATTAGCACATGCGATGGTTATGCGTTGTATTTGCCATGCGAACGCATCTGTGTGTGTGTGTGTGTATGTGCGTGTTTATGGCCATAAATGCGAATTCATTGACTCGCACAAATTATGTATTTAACAGTAATTTTATGACTTTTAATGACTCGGTCACTGCTGCGTCTGGCTTGCAACGCCGGCCTTGTGGCAAGTCTGCTTGTTGCATTCTGATAATTCATTAATTTCAATATAGTTGCAATTTAATTAAAGGTTCTGGCAGTAATCACAGCATCACAGCAGTGTTAATTGGCTTTAGCTAAAATAACTTTCAGCTCTTCATTCAGTAGTAAGTGATAATTAGTTAAATTGATTTTACATAACCTAAGGCAGGAATTTATATTATATGTTCATATAAATAATTCATTGGTTGTTGTAATTGCTGTCCTAAGCTTAACACCCCCTAATCCAAGTGGCGAGTGCAGCGTCGGTGTGATTGATTACCATACATTTTTTTTTCATTTCCGGTTGCTAATATTATTCGTTGTTCGTGAAACTAGTTAGTATTATCAATCTATTAATATCTTTAATGTGTTCTAGTTAGATAAACCAATGCTTTCCACTCCTACCTATCTTTTAGTAGTCCTAAAGTATTATTTTCGACCCAAAAAAGTTTGAATGCGTCAAGGATTTATATTTAGGTTTAAATACTTGCGTGTCATTAGGTATTATCTCCATATTAGAGAATTCAATATAGGTTGCTCTATCTTCATTCTCTATGCAGCAATGAACTATGTGACCCAGAGTCACTTTGTTTTGTCACCCTGTTAGGCAATGTTTTGCAGGCTCGAAATTAACTTTGTTATTGTCTTTGCTTTTCTTAAAAGCCTGCAGTTTGGATTCATCCTTGCTTAGATGATTTTTTTCACTACACCTACAGCGCAGTTCATTCCAGCTCATAGAATTTGCAATACCTAAAAGGATGGAGCGAAAAAAATTTATTTTTTTTGGTGCTTAACCTGAGGGTGAAATTTGTAGATTATAAAAACATAAAATTTTGCGGGAAAAAATTTTTTTTAACATCTAGAGGCGGCTATTTTAAAGTAAATTTTCAGTTAAAATTTTTATTTCGTGAAACACTTTTGTTTAGTGTTCTAGAAGCTGTAGAGATTCCTCTTTCTGGCCAATTAAAACTTATCAGCTTAAAAAAAAAATTGTGGTCATTATTAGAGTTTAAAAAAAAGTCCTAAACGACCACATACTTTCCTTAAGCGTTAAAATAAATTTTTAGTCAAAAACCGTCAAATTCCATAGTTTTTATATAAATGTAAAGAGTTTAAACCAAAAACAATTTTTTTTGTCCAAAAAAAAGTTTAACTCGAAACTTACTTTAAATGTGAAAAATTTTATTTTTTTATAATCCACAACTTTTACCCTCAGGCTAAGCAAAAGAAAAAAATTTTTCGCTCCACCTTACTAAGTAGACTTTTTTTTTAAGAACCGTAAATTGATAATTATAGAGGGTTTCTTGAGATCAAAAAATTCAACTGCCATTAACCTTCAACTAACTTAACGCCCTCAATAGCCTCGCACTCACAATCAGCATATTCCACACTAGTTTACACAAATATGCTTTACTGCTTTACTGCTTATGCAATGCTCTTATCCTGCCTATACTCCAGCCATAATCAATTAAAAATTTCGTTTGCAAATGAAGCGTGCAACGGCGACACAGCGATAACAACGAAATTCGCAGAAAATAGCGAAAATCGAAAAAAATTACATCACAGACAAAAGGATTAACGGACGCAAAAAATCAAAAATCATGAAACATAAAAACGGCCAAAGGATGTGTAAATGGTAGAAATCAACTGAAAATAGAAGAAAACTGTAAGCAAAATAAATTAACACAAAAAATTTGCAACGAAAAATAGCAAACGATTATAATTGCCAAAGCGTAAATACAGAAATGTCGCTTATTATGTTTGCTTAACACCAATGTCAGCCACCCTCTCTTCCATCTACTTGCGCACTCCCGCCATAATATTGTCCTCGAGCGCTCAGCATCAGCACAAGTGGCAGCAATCAATGCCAGTTGCATACACACATGCACATACATCAATGCAGCACACATGTACGTAAGTATATGCACCGCACACCCTGCACACACTCTGCATGCACGCCGCAATACCGTTACTCGGGCTTGCCCTGTTTGTGAATGCAATTGACTGCACAGTAATAACAATCATAACAACAACAAATTATGAAACAGCTAAAGAAAGCAATAAATAGCCCTTCATAGGTGAAACGAATGAGAAAAACTGAAAAACGCGGCGGAGGGAAGAAGGAAGTTGAGCCAGCAGAGTTGCCGTTGATATTGTTGCAAGCAGAGTAGCGTTGTGGCAGAGATGCGTGAACGGTGATACCAACGAGGAGTAGTTGGTTTGTGTAGTTGTTATAAACAAACAAAAAAAAAACGCGAAAAGCAACAAAATGTGAAACAGTTGTCGCTCGAGTAAAGAGGAGACAGTTGTGCAAGTGTTGGAGTTGTAAGCAGCGCTGCTTCTGATGCTTTAGATGTGTTGCAACCACAAGTAACATATTTCAACTGCCGTAGCTGCTACGTTTATGATTGTATATAAAAGTATGTGCGAAAAAAATTTACTATGCTTACTTTTAAATACATTATTAAAATTAATTAGGTAAAATTATTTACACTAAATTTACTAGCGCATAGACTTTACTGTTAAGTCTCACATTTCTCACATTTTTGAGCCGCAACTTTGGATGAACATCTTCTCATGGCGAAGTGGTTGTCAACAATAGCTGGTTGCGGCAACTTTTTCTCAAATATGCACATATGTGTTTCTATATCCGAAAGAAAAACATATGTGTGTGTACAAAATGAAGAAAAAACTAACAGCAACATCCCCCACATGCGAGCGTTACTATGCGTTCTTTTGGGTGGTTACGTTTGACCAGCGAAAAGAAAAAATATGCCACACAACGACCGCCATTGATGGGTGCGCTGCTTTGGTATAGGGCGGAGCCATTTCCATGAACTAAAAAAATTGACGAGTCGACAAGCTGTAGTACATGTGTAGCAGTAGACTCAGTTTTTCTAGAGTCCTTTCAAATGCGCCTAAAAAGAAACATTGCTGCGAACAACTGCTGGAATCACATAAGTCAAAACTCGCTGTTCTGATGTAAGTGAATGTATAATTGAATAAAGTAGTTTTACTGCTGGTTGATTAAGCACTTCTACGCTATAGATATCCAGTTTCATGAGTTTTACAAAGTTCAAGCAGATTTAATACAAAATATCAAAAAGTATGACACTTAGCTTAGTCACCTTTATTCAAATGTAACTTTGACTTAACGGCTTTTTGCAATTTTGGCAATATTTTCGCATTTTTTACACCATAGGTGAGTGCGCGAAGCTAACGAGTACGACACGAGAGCGCAGAGAGAACGTAAAAACTATGGCAGCCATTGTTGAAATGAGTTAAATTAAATAAATAAAATAATAATAAAATTACAGTTATTAGCGGTAAAAAGTTTAAAAAGTCGTAAAATATTTTATACAAGAGCATTAAGTGCTCTCTTCAGCACAAATGTGTGCAACCAGGGGAGTATGTGACTCTTAGGTGTTCAATGAAGTAACGCCAATATCGCTAGGAAAGACTTTTTTCAATCAATTTAACTTGTTAACGCACACATTTGCAATCGTTTGCTTGTTTGTTATATCCAAATTCAGTTTGATCACAAGCTCAAGGTCGGCATGAAGTATGCATTCGTTAAGTGTGGCATAAACTTGACCAAGTCACTTCGATGCAGAAAATGTGTCTCCTACAACTATATTTCAAATAATACATCTTTCAATTAAAATACAGTCAACATTTCTCAAATAACCATCACTGGTGGTCGAAAATCTTACGTTATAGTCAGTGTTCAAGTCATGGAAGTAAAAATTTTGGACTGTTGTTTTAAATATACCGCTCTTCGCTGGTGAAATATTTTTGCTGAGATCAAAGTTGGTCTTCTGATGTCATTGTTTTTTTCGGAACTATTTGTCGTTTCAAAATAATAACATTTCAGCACAAAAACAATTGCTGGGCGCCAGTAAAAACTTTTTATAATTTGTATCAAAACAATATTAACTTAATATTTAATATAATTTAGCTTTTTAAGCAAATATACATATTTATTACAAAATTACGCTATAAAACTAAAATAATCATATTAAATGTCATAAATGAGACAATATAACAAGGATGCAATAATTGCTGACATATCGAGATCGTGCGATATTTATGAGCTGATTGGACACTTGAGTGCCACTTATGACTTTTATGGCCCCTAAAAGTTGGCTGCCGCCTATGGGGGATGTACAAATATGTGAATTGACGGTAATCGCATATTACGTTATAGTCTTGTGTATGAAGCATTATAAATGTGTTATCTGTGCCAAATAAACAACAAAAAGTAATAAAAGACTTGGAAGTACAAAATGTTGATTAGAGTAGTATCGATAACAATATGGCAAATTAAGTTGAGAGAGCTTTCTAAATCACTCAAAAATGCGCTAAACTCGAGCGGTTGACCTCAGCACAATGGACTCGTGTGGCATAAGCGTGACGCTGCTGGTGGGAATCTTATCGCTGTGAATGCGAAATACAAAACGTAAACAATGACTTGAACAACTTTGCGGCTACTCACCCCTCTCGCTTGATGGAGCGATCGGTTATTATGACGTATTCGAATTGCGCTGGCAGTTCAGCGAAGGGTTCGTGCAGGTTGAAATTCTCAATGTTACCAAAAATGTTGAGTAGCGTTATGTATGTGTAATTATCTCGTAGTGAGCTGTAATTGAGTAAGGTTAAAGAAAAATCACCACAGTCTACGCAAACTGACCGTTTGACGGCTAAGACATAGTCATTCAACGCTTTAACCTCCGTTTCGCCGTTCTGTAAGGTTGTCGACTTTCTTAGCTTTTGTAGATTTTTGAAGACATTTAAATGACTCAAGGCTACACCGCGCTCCCGTTTCACATTGACGAGCTTGTAGTCTTCTGCGATGGGTAGCCAAGTACTTTGGCCCGTGGTAAAACCAGCATTCGCAATGTCGCTCCACTGGAAGGGTGTACGTGCCGGATCGCGTGAACGCCACTCATAACCCTCTTGCTCATTGTTGCATGCCTGTGGGTCGACGGTCTCCTCCCAGGAGATCCATACGTCAGTCATGCCGATCTCCTCGCCGTTGTAGCTGATACTGCAACCGGGCAGTGTGAGCAAGAGTATATTGAAGAGGTCAATGCGTTCAGCACCAAAGCGCGTACCAACACGATTTTTGTCGTGGTTTCCGATCTGCAAAGCAGAAGCATTAAGGTTTGTTATCAATTGAGTTTTATAGCGTTTACGTACCACCCAGTTAGGTGTTCTACCAGGTAGCATGTATTGGAACCATTTGTTGATCAGTTCAGAGTAATGATGAGCATTGGAATACATGCCCAAATTAGAAATCATTTGGAAGTTGAAGGGTATTTGACCACCGTCTGCGGTCTCATTACCGTAGTAAAGCATGACGATATCTATGGGGGACCAGGTCTCGACCATCAAAATACTGTTGGCAGAAAAGGAAAATAATTAATTTCAGCACGCATTGAAAATATAAGTACAGTACACTCACCGCTCGTCTCCACCATGTTTTACTTGGTAATCTTTCAAGATCTGACGCCACTCATACACCAGATGCGGTGTCTCCCACTGATCAACCGTGTAAATGTGGCGAACATACCCGTAATCCTGTGGATCGTCACTCCAACCACTCACGGGTTCGTCTGCATAGTTACCACGCTTATCAGCCTCAATCTCGAAGGCGTGGTAGATGGCATCAATGCGAAAACCAGGGACACCCTTGTCCAACCAGAACCGTAAGACATTCTACAACACAGAACACCATAAAAAGCTCTACGTATTCACCTTTAATTGACTCACATTCATTGCTTCACGCACTTCGGGGTTGCGAAAATTAAAATCCGGCTGTTTTTTGTCGAACTGATGTAAGTAGTACTCCTGACGCTCTTCATGCCACTGCCAAGCCGAACCGTAAAATACGCTAACCCAATTGTTTGGCGGTTGGCGCTTGCCATCCACCAACTTACCCGGATGCCAGATATAATAGTCTTTATAAACGGGATCTCTAGCAGCCGATTTGATGAACCAAACACACTCATCACTCGAGTGATTTGGCACAAAGTCCAAAATTATTTTTATATCCAACTCTTTGGCCTTGGTCACCATGCGCTCGAAGTCCTCCATGGTGCCGAATAGTGGATCGACTGCTGTAAAGTTGGAGATATCGTAACCGAAATCAGCCATGGGCGACTCGAGGAATGGCGACAACCAAGTACCAGCAATACCGATCTCCTTCAGATATGGTAACACACTAGTGACACCATTCAGATCACCAACACCATCGCCATCGCTATCCTTGAACGAACGCGGGTAAATTTGATAGAACGAGGCAGTTTCCCACCAAGACTTTGCAGCAAATGTGAGTGAACAACTACAAAAATCTAATAAGGTCACTACCAAGAAGACTCGACGAGCCATTTTCGAACAAGGCAAAATCGTAATAAATACCGAGTTTTTAGCCAAACGCTGTAATGCGTGGAACTATTTGAAAAGTCCGTTTAGCTTCGCTTTTTATGTGCCGTTATCAACAATGTTTGCCAGCTGACTGATTAGATTTATTTCTACTTATAAATCATTTATTATCAGTATTTATCAAATCGAATTCTATAAAATATATTTTATTGGCCTCAGAGAACGATTGTTTACTAACATCGAGTTATACCTATGTACTGGCTCTACTAAGATTATATATCTGTTTTGTGTTGCAAAGCAAAACCGAACAATCCAATTCATAGGTGTAGGCAACAGACGTCCATGCATGCTGTGTGTGTGTGTCAAACATTTTCGAAAACTTTTACTAAAAGTAGACACTTCCTTTTTGATATTTGCAAACAGTTTGGTTTTCTCTTTTTTTTTGCAATTCCAAGCCCGCACTGATTCATTTCCCTGTCTAAGATTGACTGTGCATAAAGCCAACACAATGGCAATACTCTTATCGTCTTCCTGCCATTCCCTCGCTCTTACTCAATACACTACACTCCCCACGCTTCCCTTGGCTTCACGCTACCTTTCTTGTGGCTACTTTGAGTTCAGCAGCATAAAAAGAGGTGGAACTGGCGTTGCTGTTAGAATTGTTATCGGCATATACGTCTTTGCTTTTGTTTTGCATATGGTCTTCATATATGCGTCTATGTATGTGTACGATGTGTTCGACCGTTAGCTTCCCAAGCAGTGTATAAAATTTCACTTTTTGGCTGCTCCTTTGCACCCTTTTCATGGCACCCGGCAGACAGCACGGCTGGTCTACCGGCGGCAAGTCGGTCTTGCCAACTGCGGGTGGAATAAAGGACACGCTTGTGGGTGCTGAAGTGCAAAATATTTTCACTTTTTCCCCCCCTCAATCACAAAAACACACACACACACACATGCATGATGGCATAAAGCAGAGCATTTTTGTGTGTCTCAAATGGTTCTAAATGTACGGATTCGGGTGCGGGTGTTTGTCGGCCTGGCTACGGGGCTGTGTGAAGCGGAAGCCAAGTTTTCAGGTTTGCAGGATGTCGCAGACGTTGTCACGTTTGTTTGTAACAATTTTCGAAGGTTAAATGGTAACACTTAAAAATTCTTTCAGCGGGCTAAGCAAAGCCAAGAGCTCTGCAATTACACAAACATAAAAACCTTTTCGAATGCAGGATAAGAGGGAGAATTGCTGTGGCAACAAAAGCGGAGAAGACATGCAACAACTGGCAGTTAAGTTTTATGGAAATGGTAGTACACAAGGTTGGTATTTGGGTCAAGGACACGAAGCAGCTGTTTACATTTGTGTTTCCTTATATTTGCTTTGAGTGTGTTGGGATTTTTTTTCATTCACAATTTGTGAAATAAAAATGTCCAATATTTCTTAAAATAGCAACGCCAATTTCTCTTTTAAAAATCTTTGTTATATTATTTCGTTTTATTTTTGAAAATAGCGGAAATTGCTTTTACTACGCTTTGTTCTTCCCTCTGCCATTTTGAGGCAGATATAATAGCGCTTTATAGAACTGCGGCTGAGATTCTTCAGAATATGGCATCTTTTGTCATCGTAACTGAACGTGATAACCTCGCGGCCACTCACACATGGACGCATTCATAATTAATATCGCGCAGCAGCAGAACTCTAAAGATTCATACGCCATAAATTCACTGCCTTTCATAAGCTCATCCCTCAAAGGATCGGCCCACGAGTATGCATTCTTCATTTGTGCTTATTCAAAGGTTCCAAAAATCGCATAGCGAAATAATAAATACACCGAAGGTATTTATTTTGCAGCCCTTTAAGTTGATGCATGAAATTGCTTATTAACAAGAACAGCAAAACAGCTAGCAACAGCGCTCCCCACGCCTCCGACATCAGTCGTAGTGTCGCCGCGTCAGCGCCGATGCCAACACCCGCCCTAAAAGCGACTTCCCTAGAATAAGCGAGGCCGAAGTGCGCGATTCAGCGCCGGTGCCATTCCACGGCTGCAGCCAATCGGCGCAAAGACGCCGCGACCGGCACACACTATGCGACCCAATCGCGAATTTTCGCGACTTCAACCGCGGCAACTACAACTACAGCAACAGCATCACCAGTGAACACCAGCTGACGCGCAAGTCGAAGCTGCGAAAATAATGAGCAAAAAATCAGCACCGAATTATTTGCGCCTTTTTTAATGAGCAGGCGAAAACGCGCACACACGCGCACACCTTCGGGTTAATGTGTATGGGAGGTTAGCCGCAGCTGGCGCTTAGGGTTGGGAGTATGTCTAAAATGATGACGATGCTTGGCAGTCGGCTTGGAGAACGTTCGCGTCGGGTGTGAGTGTCCTTGCGTAGAGCCAAGGCATTGGAGACAGCTGAGCGCAAAACTGCTAAGCTTCCTAGATGGCTACACAAGTGGGTCGCCAAGTACAAGGTTTGCGAGCCGTTCAAGTGGCAATGCAGTGGGCGCATTAGGCGGCGTATGGGGCCGATGGTCCTCAGTGCGCATACTTTATAATTTAGAGAGAGGGAGAGAGCGAGTGGAAGTGTTGTGCTGGAGAGCAATTTGCATTTGTTTTGTTTAAAGGAGAAATTTCGACGTTGAGATGAATTGAGAGCGTCAAATGCAAAGAGAATGTGAGAGTTAAAATGATTTAGTTTTATTAATTTCATTGTTGCAGTGATGATTAGTGCATAATGAGATATTTGGGAATTACTGGCGAAAAACTACGTTGAAGTTACACAATGCCATTCCGTTTTATATTTTTAAGTGTGTTTTGGAAGGAAATTTTAAATATTCTTATTAATAACTTACAGACTTTTTATTTTTGCGTTCACGTGTCTTAAAGCGGTGAATTTCTAAGTTATGCTATTATAAGATCATCATATGAGCTTAAAAAAGAATATTATGGGAAAAGAGTAGGGCCCACTAGGTTCAAAAAATAAATTCGAATTACTTTGATATTCCAAAGCAAGTTCTAGTTTGACACAAAACTGTACTATATAGAGTTTAAAGGTTCCAAACATTTACTTCCGCTTTTCATAGTTAGGATAATTGCAGCGTTTCAGAAGTCGTAGTTATCAAAATTTGTAAAATTATGTAGTGTGGAATAAAAAGTTGTGTATTTTCTTCTTACAACTTGAGTTGCTGATACTTGGCTTGGTTTGATCATACTCTATTACTGTTTTGTGATTTTGTTTTTGTATTGACGGTATGAGTTAATAGATTTTGTACTGAGTTGACCTTCTATCAGCGCTTTCATGCTTTCATATTTCCTTATTACAAATGCTCACACCATTTCCAAGATTTAACCCGCCCAGCAAAGTGCTCACGCCACAAATATGTTCTTGCATGTTCACAGTCGTGCACGTCTAGTCCACTCCGCCTGTCATGCCTTGTCTTATTTACCTTCTTGACGTACTTTGCTTGCAGCTTTCCCTTTCCGCTCTCGTCTGGCAAATGGTTAACTGCAAGAACTTATGGACATTCGATAACTTGTAGCCTCACAATTTGGATTTCACATTTGGGTTCGACGCACATGTGTATGTCTGTGTGAGTGTTCGCGTGTGTTTGTGCGGGGTATTGGCATGGCACTGTAATGTAAGTGTAATTAAAATCCCTTGATTAATATGTAAATTTAATGAGATTACGAATTCAGCGAACAAGATTAGGAACAAGTCAGGGAGTACGAGCGAACGCAGTGACAGCACAAGCCCGAGACAGTCAAGCAAACAAACGGACTGTATAATCAAGCAGAAGGAAAGAAGGCAGTGACGGAATACATACTGGTGTGGCGAGGAAGAGCAGGGAGAGTGTGCCCTTTGGTGGCTGCAGTCATATGCTGAAACAAACTAACCAAAGCCTTTAACTTACTAGAAAGAATGAGGAATATGTAGAAAATCTGAAGCCACAATCTGGTTGATTTGTTCTTCGCAGGAACTAGCATGGCCAAGTGTTTGAGTTGTATATCAACTACAAAGCTATACATACAAAAATAAAGAGTTCAACTATAAATTGAATATAATATTGGGAAATAGTAATTATAATAATATGAGTGTTTTGTTTGGAGGTTAAGCGACACATGAAGTTCGCGATATTCCTCATTTCATTTGTTTTTCGCACAGCCACAAGTGGATATGCATTTCTCAAAAGTTTGTACCCTGCTCTTGCTCTGTTCTGAAGCATATGTTTTCTACCATTAATAACTGTGATCGCTTTCCCTTTCAAGTAGACAATATTGATTCGCAAAATCTTAAAGTTATGAACCGGTTTCCTCGAAAATCTCGTTCGAATCGTACTTGCGACCAGAATTCTGAAGGTTTTCTATAACGTATTGCTTAAAATGTGTACAGCCATTGGCTTATAAAGGAGTCCATTAATTTCCCATAATTCCGTATTTGTACAAAATTAATTAAATTAATTTATTGCATATCGGAGTTAACACCCTACAATTTTCTAAATTACACACACAACACTAAAAATGAAGAAAATAAATAAATAAATAACGCAGAAACTGTGAGCCTTTACCATATATAATATATAATACTATAAATGGTATCGCCATATTTTAATTGCGCATGCGTAGCATTCTTTACCGCCAGCGACCTGCCGTAACCCGCGCCGTGGAATATAAGCATACAGCCTCGTGTTGCGTCGCTGGCTTAACTCTCAACGCATAGTCGTTCGCTCGACGCGCTTGGCCTGATTTATGGAACTGCTTAATTACAACAATATACAACAACAACACAAACATACGCACACATAATCGGCGCGGTGAATTAATGAAATCAGCTGCAACAACCGGACGGCGACGCGATTTAATCCTTAAAAAGTTTCAGAAATTAAAAATGAGCGCAAAAACGCAGAAATCAAAGCAAAAAAGAAATCACGCAAATCGTGTGAGTAAGTGGAGTGAGCGAAGAAGGATTGGAAGCGCGAAAAGCGGCGTACACAATTAAAGAGCCACAGCAAAACC